TAGAAAAATTAGAAAACACAGAAAAGCAAAAAACAAACAAAAAAAACCCAGAAACATCCATCATCCCATTACCCATAAATAACTACTATTTAACATTTTAAGTGTATGTCCTAGCTTTCTTATGCATATACATATACATACAGATTTATTTATATATAATTTTTTTACAAATATCATGTCATTCTATACATACTGTTTTATAACATGTATTTTTCATTGAATATATATTCTGAACATTGTTGCTTATTCCCTGAAAATTACAACATGCTCATTATGGAAAAATTTGAAGGTACAGATATGCGGAAAGAAAATACAACTGCTCCAAATCTCACCTCCCAGAGATAAATGCTATTATCACTTTGGCAAATATCCTTTGCTTCTTTTTTTTTTTTAATGAGCACACACACACAAACACACATATATTATTAAAAAGGGATCATGCTACAGATATGTCTGTAACTTCCTTTTTTCTTTTGAGATAACAAAAACATACATAAGATGTTCATTCTTAGCAGATATACAATATTTCACTAGAGGGACACACCATATTCAACCAACCCTATAATGTTGGCTCATTTATCCTTTTCTACTCTTTCAGATCCTTCTGCTATGAGCATCTTTTCCTGAATAACAGTTTTTGGATAATGAATGAATGCAACTTAGCACATTCTTCCCTCCTGAGTTCTTAAAGTGGAATTTTCCTAATATGAAATTACTGGGCACACAGGAAAAATATATTGCTAAAATACTCCCTAGAAAGTTGTATAGTCCTGTTCACTCCACAAGAGAATGGCCATTTTCAAGTGTTTTTGTTATTTCTGGGGTATTTAATTCTTTATATTCTACCTTGCTACTATGTAAGAAAAAGTATGGCATATAATTTGCATTTTCTATTGCTAGTATAACTAACTCTTTCCTACTATAAATTTTTAGCTTATTGTGTATTGCCAGTTTGTGTCCCCGGCTTAATTTACTACTAAAAAATTAGATTGTTTCTTATAAAATGTCATTCATTACTCATCCATTCAATAAACAGGTTTTTTTTTATCAGACGCTTATTTTGTCTAAGATTGGTTTAGATGCTGCAGTCCCAACAGCCTGCAGCAAATTCTTGCTGTCTTCTTGTATTTCCGTTTCAGTGGTGGGGAGAGGGGATCTCACAAACCGTTAAAAAAAAAGTACAATGAGGAAAGAATCAAGTGGAAACATGTGGCTGGGGAGAGAGTTACAGATTCCTTCTCAAAGGTAGTAGTTTAAACTTTGAGAGATCTCAAACTTATGTCTTGGTTTTGTTTTCACTATTAAAGGAGTTTTGTATCTTTTAATTGGTTAATCTGTTCATCTTTGTGATTTCTTCCTTTGGTATTATGCTCAGAAAGTGTTTTTTTTAGCTTCTGTGCTTTAAATTCAAATATTCACTTCATCTACAAATTTGTTTTTCTGAAAGTTAGGAAGTATGAATCTAATATTTCTCTCAACCATTGGCTAAATAGTCATCACAAAATAATAATAATCTAAGCTTTTCTCATTGGTTCAGAATTATTTTATGTTCATGAGTCTACTATGAGTTGTAGTTTTCAATTCTAATGATCTATTCTGAGGCCAATATTTTTGCTGAAGCGTCTCATTCTATCTACAGTTACCTCCAAGTTGAGTATTTTGCAATTGGTGACATTCCAGAAACACAGAGAAACAACAAACATTGATTACGGGTGGTTGACTGCAGTGGGGAGTTAGGCTGCATGGTATCGCTACTTCTTTCAAAACGGGGACTTGGCAGGGTGTGAAATTCCAGAGGAGGTCATTGTCAGTCCAGCATACATGATTATTGTCTAAAGCAAACCAGGGACTTTGACTCTTGTACTGGCTTGGAAGATCATCTTTCAATAGGTGGCAGTATTGCCAAACACCGAGTATCTCAAGTGGCTTTTAATTTTTATTTGTTTTTTATTTTTTTATAGCAGCATGGAAGAACAAAATGGTCTGGCAGGATTGACAAGTCAGCATTTCCCTACAAAACTTGAATGCATCAGAGGAGTCATCAAGGTTGTGCTGATTCTAAAGCTTTCTGTGCATCCCTGAATGACATAGCCAGATAGCTAGTCTGCAGAGGCAGGCAAAACCTTCATGAACATAGTTTTTGAAAATGATGCTTTAGGTTGGAAATGTTATCTAGTAGTGCAAATGAGTCCAGTCCCTGACCAGTTAAAACACCAGAAATGCCATTTAAAAGCAACGTAGTATATTCTTAAAACTGTATATATGAAAGACACAAAATTTGATCCCATCATATATACTTTAAAATATCAATATAATAGTGATGAGATTCAGGTGACCTTTATTTTCTTTATACATAGTGGTATTTTTTAGATCAGTTGCAAAGAACATGTCAAAGCAACACAGGACATTAAAGATACGGTGGTTCATTGAGTGAGTGTCACAATAATTTTACATCCTTTTCTGTTTCAAGTACATAGACACATGCAAAGAAAAAATGGGATTGATGTTTTCTTCTTATGCTGAAAGATCAGCTCAGCGATGTTGCTAATCTCAAAGGGAATTACCCGCAGGAAACCAAGACAGTGAAACGTCGTCTCATGGGACCACACCTGAGAAAGTCCTTTGGCAGGTGAGAGCAGAGAGGGGAAGCTCCCCAAGCACACGTGTCTAATGGGAAATGATGACTGTGTTTATGACCCAGTACAGGTGTATCGGGATCTTCAGCATGAATTTTAACTGGATTACCTGCTACTGAAGGGAGATCTATAAATCTTGGAGTGTGTCTACCGGAACTACAAAAACTAATCGCAGGCTGGGAAACAGGCACTGTGAATAAAAGATGAGGAGCATGAATATATTATCTTAGACATGGAAAATCTGGCCGGGTAACTAGACAAATTCCCATCTCTGTGAATAGCTACTACAGCCTTCTCAGACAAGGAGGTGAGACCTGAATATATTAACAGTCTTTAGTTGTACAAAGGACAGTGGTACAGAAGGTAAGTGTTATTCTCACACGGAGCTTAAAGTGAAGGTGAGTACAAATTAACCAAGCAGAAAGGATTTAGGTCAGGCATTTAGAAGAACGAGCTGAACACCCAGGGAGGGTTTATCAATTGATGACTTTGCGTGGAATGGTGGGAGTATGGCTGAAGCAAAGGGTTCAATAGAGTGGAAAGGAGGGAGAGAACAGAGACGGGAGCTAAGAGCGTATTGTATGGGGTTGCTTACTAATTTCAGAAGACTGGACTTGAAAAGCCAAACCTTAGAGATATAGAACCATGTTTAGAAAAGGACACTGAGCTTTCAATACACTTGATTTACAAAATTCAGCATTGCTGACCAAGAAGAGTGGATGGTTACTGGTGCCTGCTTACTCTGCAAGGGAATATTCACAAGAGGAGTCTTTCAGTAATATACTCTCGCAATTGTTTTACAAGTATTTGATTTAGAAAATCATGATTTTTCATAATTTGTCAAGGGTGCTTCTGTTTGTGAAGCCAGGCATACCTAGATGCATGCATTAATTACCAGTTCATCGGAACACAATTCTAGACTGCAAGAATAAGACTAACAGCAAGCTGGTGTGATCTAAATAGAGGTCTGTATAGCCTTTTTGAGTTCTCTAGCAACTCGTTAGATCATTTTTCACTTTCAATGAAAAGAGCTAAAAAGACAATTCCAGGTAAAATGTCCACAACACCAGCTATTAGGTTAAACTGTATGGAATTGCTAATTTTCATAGGTCAAAACAGTCAAATATTAGCAGTTTCATAGGATTCAAGTTACTATTGTAAGTATTTGAGTAGCTTATCTGTACCTCTGTTCATCTTTACTAATGCTAAAAGTTTTATTAGAGTTTGTTTTTAGGTTAAAATACTAGTATATAAAGGCCTGTGCACATAAATACTGAGACGGTACAGGGCTAGGACGGAGGACGTGTCTTGGATAAACTACGGGTAGGGATAGAACCCGTCCTCTGTTGTACCAGACACTGGTGCCTCGTGTCTGCGGTGAAGATTTTTCAGACAATGGAAAACAAGACAAGAAGTGCAAAGACTTGATCGCTCAACCCGAGGGAAATCAGTCTGGGAAATGGGCCAAAGGAAGAAGCGGGGGAAAATAGGGCAAAATTTGTACCATGTTACAAGGTTAGTGGAGGAAGCAGCAACATGAAGCAGTGGCTTCCTCTGTTTTAAAATGTAGTATTGCTAAATGTGTCCTGCTTCCGAGATTCTAAGCGTGGAACAAGACACCAAGTACGCACTGGAGAAGTCAGGTCTGCATAGTCATCTAAAAGGAGACAAGCTTAACTAAAAAAGTTGTATTAACAATGTAAAATGTTAAATATTGTTACAATCTGTGCTAATTCCAGCATGCCCTAGGAGAGTTAACGCTATGCTGATGTGCAGACATCATGCTTCAGATTTCAATTAGAACAAAATGTGATCATATTCGATTTGACATCAGAGGGTGGTTTGTATATGTTTCTACACCATTTCCTAACGGGATTACGTCATTCTCCAAGAAGCTGAAAAAAGACACCATTGGACTGAAGGAAATTAGTTGTCCAAATGCAGTGTAAGACGGTATTAGGATTACTGTGTATTTACAAGCTGTGTTTTCAAATGTATGTGTTTTTTTTTGGTTGCATTGTAAGTGAAGATCTTTTCATGTCGAAGCTCGTAGATTCTGACAGAATGGAAGACTAAACATCGATGAGTGCAGAAAAAGCAATAAGTGAGGTGTTCTATGTTAGCTTATAACTTGTTCCCAGCAATACTGACAGATTGGCATCTTGAGCACAGTTTTACAGTTTTAAATAGATTTCTATGTTTAAAGACTTCTTTCATATGTGATACGTTTCTCACAGGAGCTCAACGAGGGCTAGGGATATGCTAATATACGTGACATCATTTTTCTCTGTATAATACATTAAAAAAAAAACCCTTTCGATCATTTAAAAATCCTAATTCTTGCATCGGTCATGGCATTGTTTAGAGCAGGCATGCATGATGTCAGCTGTAAAAATTCTTTTAAAAACAGCCTGCTTGGGGAATCTGTTCTTTTTTTTTTTTCCTTGATGACAGCTGCTTTCTAAAAGCGCAGGGGAGGCGGAGAAGATGAACAGGGAAGCATAGAAAACAGAGTCAGAAAACCAATATCTGTGTGTTCGGCTGTGTGGAGTGCCTCTGGTTTTGTGATGTTGCCGGGTGTTGCAGACGGTGGATTTCCGGAAGGACCGCCTAGCTTGACACGAGGCAGCAGAGCCCAAAGAACCTTCTTTTTCGTCTTCTCACCAAGGGGTAGGGAGTTAGATTCAGAAGGCTGCTGTCATCTGTGGCGGGGAAGAAAGTACAAGTGAGGGAGGCAGAGGCCAAGCAACCTGCCTTTTAGGAAATGGCTTTACGTCTCACCATCCTTTGAATCCGATTGTCTCATCTTCAGGGCTATTTTAGTATTTGGGGTGAGATTCTTTGAGCACACTGCTTGAGCACCCGCAGCGTGTTTTGTAATATCGTTGACCTTTTCTCATTAGATCCTAGAAACTCTTGCCCCTCCGACACAACAGACTGTCCCCAGATATGGCCAAATGTTCTCTGGGAGAGGTCTGTCTGAACAGCCCAAGACTGAGAATCAAAATTTAGAACTGCTGCAGACTGCTTAGAGGCAATGTTTCAGCTAGAAGAAGAGGAGCCTTTCAAATGATTATGGGAAATGGAATTGAAAAACGAAGTCTATTTTTGGCGCAAAAGTTTTTGAAATCTACGCATATGAGAGTGTTTTCAAAAAGCTCATGGAAAATGTGTGCTTTGAAACAACTATGCATAAATTTCCAATGTTTTGCACCAAAATAAGCCATTTTCATTCTATTTTCAGCAAGATTTTTTTTTTTCATAGTACTGTCATTTTTAGAGAGATGAGGCCGATTAGAAAGAGCACATGCTTTGGGGTTAGCTGGTCTGCTTTTCTAAACGTGCCTCTGGGATGTACTGGTTCTGAACATGTAATTCAAGCTCCTGTCTGTAAATCAGGATCTTGTGGTTAAAAGGATTACACAATGATTCAATGGGTGGGTTCCAGAAGGGGAATCAACTGAAAATTTCTAATTGGAGTCAGGCAGGAGTTGGGCCAACAAAATGGCTGCTGACATTGGTGGTCATTAGGTCTCAAACCTCTGAAAGGGCTAGTCTCTCTTTTTCCAGGGCAGAGGTAAAGGGTTTCTCTCCTGTCTTTATCCTGAAAAGAAATAGCACATTAACAAAAAGCACAGAATCAGAAGAAAGCTGAAGAGGTGGAACTCATGAAAAATGTGCCCTGCCTCAGTAGAACCACCTTGTAGATGAGAGTTGCACTTTGTCTTGTTTTGACTACTGAGCCTAGATGTCTAGGAAACTGTCAAGAACAAGTGAATGCAGGTTCACAGTCCCCTTACATAAATGAATTGTACAGCCAAGAGCCTAGGTTTTCCCTTCCCATCCCCAAAGGCTCTTGCAACACATCTTTATTTGTCAGTTAGTTTCACCTGCCAAGGTTGAGTCTCCTCCTTGGAATGGCGCAGTATGTGAATCCATTATTTCGTGATTCAGTTTTGTCATAGTTTTAACCGATGGGTGATATACTTCGAGGGATGTAGAGCAGAGAGTCCAAGCCAGAGAAGATAGGCATCCCAATGGGTATTTTAAAAATTAATCAAACACAGGTTATTCTGACAATTGCCACAGAGGACAACCTTGGCCATTCTGATCCTGTCCAGAGGGGAAAATAATTGCAACCTGGATGGCAACATTTTGACAGCTAAAAATGGGATATCTTTCTTTTATAGTTAACTTGTCCCCAGATTGTCAGGACATTGAAAATAACATTGATATTTAGGTGAATCTCTCAAAGCTGAATCATGATATGTTTAGAATACAGGGAAATGATCATTCTCACCATTTTTAGGGTTTTTCCTTCTTTTGCCTCTGAATGATCAATGAACTCAACCTAACTAGATACAGCAAAGATACAGCATACCCTGCAGGACAAAAAATTTTGCTCCTCAGTTTTTTTGGGGTACTGAACTCACATCCTGAAACGCCAATTCATCTGAAATTGAATGTTTCTATGAAACACATTTGCCTAAAAAATAATAAAGACAGACTCTATTTAAGATTTGAAAGATCTACTTCCTGAATTGCTTTTGCAACCCCAAACACTTACTGGCACTTCACTGGTCATTAAATAAAAATACTATAAAATGTAATTCTAATGTGTATTGTTTCCTGATATGTGAAAATGTCACGATGTTGTGCTTGCAAGGGAAATGTTTACAGGGGTTGAGTCATCATATGCCTGGGGTCACTCTGAAAAAATCCTTTAAACCCTACAGGTTTTATAGACAGATGGTACTAGATTAGTATCAAAATAGACTTGTAGGTGCAGACGCATACATAGAAGATTTTCAAAGAAGTCATGGAAAATTCACATTATCTTTTAATATTCCACATCCTGTTTGAAGCTTCTTTATGTGTGTGACTGTAATTTCCCATGTGAATAGAATTGTGATAATGGATGAGAAAGCACTCAGACATTGGGCAAAAAGCAGGCTACCTGTTGAGGAGAACTGTTGGTTTGGGACATCTGTGTTGTGCATTCCTGACACCTTTGTCTAGTTTGGAGCTTGTCCAATCATCACTTAGCGTGGAAGTGACACCAAAGCTCAGAATCTCTTAGCAGACTTTCAGAGCAGCTTAAAACATCACATTAAACAGACACCTGCAATATATGCTGGAAATCTCTATGAGTAAGTATGCCTGAAATGGGGTGAAGCAATTTCTACTCCAAGCAAATTTGTGTCAATATATTGACCAAAATTCTTTCTCTTAAGTGAAAGGCTGCTGAAAGAATACGAGCCAAGTGGGATCCTCTTCCATGCATGACTAAATATTCTAGGCTAATTTACTTAAATTTAGGAAACCCTTGATTTGATTGCAATTTTTTTTTTTGCGGGGGGTTGCTTCTTAATTAAGATATAGTATCTTTTCTCCAAAGTATATGACAGCAAAAAACCATGACCTTGACAACTTTCAGTGTGAGAATTCAAAGTGGGAAAGGAAGTGGGGAATGAAGGAAACCATAGAGCAAGGTGAAAGAAAAGCAAGAGCTGAAAATTCATCTGTAGGAAGTTCGAACCTCAGTGTCATGTGAGTGGCACAGCACAGCTTGCTGGTCTAACCCTGGGAACAGTAGGAATGGGGAACATCCAATGTCCTGGCATCTCTTCCAAGTTCCTCAACATGCTCACACTGCCTGTCCTGAGGACCCATTCTGAGAGCTCCAAAATTATCTGAATGTTGGCCAGGTGCAATGCTCTCAATGCTATGGGCAACTCCCTGGTGGGTCATGAGAGAAAGACTGTCCTTGACCTCCATACTTTCCCCAGGAGTAATGACGAGGCACTGCTAGGACTGCCATACAAGAGACCCAAATGAGGGGAAGAGCTAGGAAGAGGACAGACGTTTTCCCACTTGGGGGAGAAAGGACAAGACATTTATGGAATTTTCATGAAAGTTCTGGTGTTCTTGCTTGGTCCCAAGGGATGGAATGAAGAGAAATTGGACATTTCATGGAGGAGGTAGACATTTTGAATGGAGGGCACAGTGTGAGCAAGGTCACGGAAGTGATCAACTTCAGCCTAATTTGAATCCAAGTAAACAATCCCATCTGGCCGGAATGAAGATTTTATGAAGGAGTGGATGGTATAAACAGAACTTCCAAGAATTCCCCAAATATGCCATGCTTTCTCTTTCCTCCTGATGTAGATTTTAAAAATCTACACCACATTTCCTGCAACCCCCTCCACCCCGGAAGTTTTCCCTCTGTAGACAAATGGTAATCCCTCCTCTAGGAGTATCTTAAACATCTTCTTCCCACAAAGTCTTTTTGGCTGCTCTGTGACTCTGAATTCTATCATGATCCCATGCTTTCCATAAACAACTGTGACAGCTCTTGGCAGGTTAATCTGCATCTCATCTTCTCTCCCCACCACTCTGTAAGCCTCTCTTTATCATAATGTATTACCCTTACAGCCCCAGCTCTTCTTCCCACACCCATTCCCCAACCCTCTGAAGCCAGGTTTATATATCCCAAATCCCAAGTAAGCAGCTTTTGCCAGTACCACCTGTGATGACCTTGTCGCTGCTTTGCACAGACACTTTGGTTTGTACATGAACTGTTCTGTACTAAGAACCACTTTCTTCCTGGCAACCTTTCCTGATTGATTTCACAATACTCTTCTAGGTTTTTCTATTGGGCCCCTTTGCCTCAAACTTTCCATTTTGTTGTTCTAGGATTCTTCCCTGGGTGTTATCAACTATGTGAGGGCCTTCTCTGCTATGCAGACGACGACGCTCTGATGTTTCCAGAGCTCCTGGATCCCACCTCATGCCAGCACTAATACCCCTTGGTGTTGTTTTCAGACATGTCTTCACATCTGAGACCCCCCACCATCATCTCCCTCCATGGCTCCTCCTCTGCTCTTGCTGACATAGTGACTAATGTCATTGTTTCTTTCCTTTTGCAAGACTGACCGGGGCTTCATCCTGGGTTCTGCCTTCTCCTTTAATAGCACGTTTGGTTGGCCATTCCCTCTTCCCTAATCCCCTGGCTTTAGTTTTGATGTTAAATATTTCTCATCCCCAATGACTGCACCTGCTTCCCATCTGAATCCTTGTGGTGGTTCCAGGATAAAAGTTTAAACCTCTTATGGTGATGATACTATCCACCCGTAATCTTGTTTTCACTCATGAAAATGTCCTCCCCTTTCATCTTCTCCTGTACCTTCTTACATCTGAAATCTTTGCCTAATCTTGCTTTTGTTCTTTCTCTTTGGTTAACTCATCCTAAAAGATTTCCGCTAAGGCACTTTCCAAAATGCAATTCCTAATAACCCCCCATTTTCACTTCAAGTCTTGGTTGGGGAGAATCGAACATGTCCTTGTAGCAATATGTATCCAAATATAATAATGTGATATTGCGATAAGCACTCATTTCTAGTTGTGTGCGTATGTGCAAGCACGTGCCCACATACACACATGTGTGATCACTTGCGGAATTCACAAGAGCTATCCTGATGGTTCCACCCCAGTCTCTGAGGCGCAGGCAATTGGAAGCATTTCCCAAGTGAGTCTCATTCTATCCTGTTGAGAGGAGCAGGTTCTAGTGGGAGGAGAGACATCCCAGCACCTGGCACAGAACCTGTCAGATCACAGGTAGCCATCACATATCAGATGATAATCGGGACAACAGATGCTGGCACAAGAAGTCAGGTTTCCCTTGTGTAAACACCGAGCAGCTCTTGCACAGATGGGAACAGAGGTTCAACATGATCAGAGGAATGCATTTGGAAATTGCTGTGTGGATGACATTAGAGGAGAGACAAGGATTACTGTGTCCCGCTTCCTCCTAGACTAAAGGGTGTGGGGATTACAACAGGTGTAGGTGTCCGTCAATTTGTGTGGCATAACTTCAGACAGAAGCTGGTAGCAAGGAGTGTCTGTCTGAGAGGCCCTCAGGAAAGGATCTGAAAGGGTTATTTTTCAGACTAGAGAGTCGCATAAGCACCCACTTATTCTTTAGCCAGATATTCCAGAACTCTCCTGTTGCATGTGACCATTTTGGTTCTGGAGATGGGGATCTGGACTTGGAGTGGATCTGAGGTGTGATGCCGGGAGAACTGTTCCTAGACCACCTCAGTCTGGAGCAGAACTATCCACCAAAGGGGAACCATGCCGGAGCACCCTCAGTTCCAGAATGAGCTGCTTTTAGTGCCTGGGGTGACACTCGATTGTAGCCAAAAGTGAGTACACTGGCACAACCCACAGCACTCATTAAGTCAGAATTCAGGGGAAAGCGAGGCAGTCTCTTCTGTTCGGTTTCTCTCTGTGGATTTGTTTTGTTTCATAACAGTGTGCCTGTTGAAGATGCTTGTCCTTCACTCTCCCATCTCCTTTTAGTCTTTGTTAGGAACCTTGCGGGCTCTCCACAGGTACTTCCATTTGTAATCCATTGGACACAGCAAGACTATCATAATTAATAAAGCTCCCCACAGCACTGCCAGTGATCCAGAATGTAGGACGGGAGGGGCCCTGAACAGCAGAAAGAGCAGTTAGCTGAGCTATATGCCCTTTCTTGGAAGAGTAGGGGAAAAAAGGCTCTGTGTAAAATGAAGGCATCATTGCTAACCATCAAAACTCTCTGCCACTGAAAATTGATTGAAAGTGAGTCCGGTTTGGACTGCAGCAGGAAGGGAGAGAAGGGGAGGTGAAATCTCTAAATGCTGGAATAGACAGGAAAGTTTCACAGTCAAGTTCTCCAGTGAAGTCTGTACAAGAGCCCATTCTGATATTGATGGGATTTTTTTCACAAGTCAACATTTGAGATTGGAAACCTGGGGACCAGAAGTGGTAGTTTTTCCTTTTATCCATCTTCCACATACATGTGTAAGTGGAATAATTACTGAAAGGAAAGAAGAAGTCAGGAAGGAAACAGATGGCATTCTATAATGGTTTTCATCCAGCTTAAAAGCATGTTTTGACAATAAGGTCCTACAGAAAAAGGAGTTGCAATAAAGGTTTCATATTTACCATTTCTAGACCTGTATAATAAATCACCTAAAAAAAAATCCCAACAGGGTCATGGTAAGCCTCGACTGTCCATCTTGGTATATGCAGTCAGACAAGGAAATACGACTGATTTTTTTTCATCACAGTGATGCTTATGTGTCTGTTCCTTGGCCCCCAGTGGACCCTGCAGTGCAGACTCACCTGCCCACCCTGCTCAGTGCACACTGACTGTGCAAACCACGCATGTACAGAACAGGGAGATGTTCATGTACTAAAGGCTCCCATTTCTCCCTCCACATGAAGAAGCCTGAATTTTCTAGTTTTTCACTTTGATGTCTCGATGATTGAAATTCCACTGCTTCTTCTCCTTCTGAAGGAGTCCTTGCAATCAATTCTCTTCTGTTTACAAGGATACTATGAAGTTCTACCAAATATGAATAGTAGGCTTTCTAGTACAAAATGACCTACGTCAACAAAATGAAACTTGTTTTTCCCGTACATGCATCATTCAAAAACTGTTGCATTTATTGTCACTCCACGTGGGGAGAATGTTTTGGATTGTTTGATTGCAAATATGGGTTGTACACAGCCATGACTTTGATTATGGGGCCTTGAGCAATCATGATGCTGGGCAACTGAGTGAAGTACAGCAAGAGGCCAGGTGCCGTTGATCAGGGCAGGGGACTGGCAAAACCTGTCATGGCACTAAGAATGGCTTCAGATGTGAGCACAAAATACCAAGTTCGTATTCTGCCCTGCAGCCACTTACAAGCACTCACAAAGAGTGCCTCCATATGAGAGTATCTCAAAAAACTCATGGAATCATGGGACTGCAAGGGAATTTGTGTGAAAAGAAAATTTGTGCGTAAGATCCTGCTAACATTTTGTCTGGTAAATTGCTCTTCATTGGTAATGTAGAGAGAGCAACAGACAGCTCTTCCATCTACTTTCTACAATGGTTGGAACCAGGTCAAGCTCACGTTGGGAGATTAGGACTCTGTTTGGGTCTTCCACATGGGCAGCAGGCACCCAATTATCACGAGCCATCACCTCCTGCCTCCTAGCATGCACATTTGCAGGTTGCTGGGTTTGGAAGCAAATTTGGGACTTGAAACAGGACCCTGATATGGAATGCAGGCACCCCAGTTCTCATCTTAACAGCTATATTGAATGTTCACCTCATGATTTGTAAAAAAAATAATCCACAGCTTAAATGAACTTCTGATAGAATTTCATGATCAGCATCGGCGGCTGCAGGGATTGTTTTGTTTGCTGGGGACTTGTGTGTCTCTTGAGCAAAGTCGGGTGAGCCAGGCAGTAGATAGTAATAACACAGCAGCAGCAACGGTGACAATAAAGCATTTGTTAAGCATCTGCTTTCTGCAAACTTGGCAGTGGGCATAGCACACACTGTTCTGAGGCCCAAAGCTGTGCAGTAGTGGATTCCATATGTGTAAACCAAGGTTAGCCCTGGGTCCTAAACACCACACTCCTAACAATGGTCCTTCACATCTTGTTTCGAGCCAGCTCTCATCATTCCAACATGCAGTTCATCTCAGAACACTGCCAAGTATGACACCCGTGGTTCAAGCTAGTTTGCCTTGACAAGCAAGCCCTGCTGAGGGTGCTAGGGGTTCCCTAGAATGTGGTATTCCCTGCCTCTGATTTTCTGACCCCCCTACTCCATGCAGCCCAGGCCACACCCTCCCTTAACGTCATTGTTGGGTGTTCTCACTTCTACCTCTCCGCCTCCTGCCAAGCTGCTCCCTGAGCCACGAGACGTTTCAGCTCCACTGCCAACTCACCCTCCTCCTCATTCCTCAGCAAGTAGCACCGTGTCCTCCCATCCAGCCAGGCTTGGCTCAGTAGAAATGGGAGGAGCTTCTAAAGGGTCCTTGTCCACCCTCTGTGTGCCACTCTCTGAAGTTGATGCTTTGCTCGTGGCTGTTCTTGCCACACATGCTTAATCAACATGCTAATTATGGGTCCTGCTACACCTCTTTGGCCCATGCAGCTGCAAAGTTGGGTGCAAATTTAGCAAATGTTGTGCTGGGTGTTATTCTACTGTGGGCCAGACTCTGCATCCTGGAGATGCAACAGTTCACAGATGCATATAGAAGTCCGTCTCTCCTGTTTGAGAGCATCCCCTCTTGTTTCTGAGTCACAGTGTTGACCCCGCACCAGGACAGCCCTGGAGATGGGCTGCCTGCACTCATATCTGTGTATGTATGATTTTGGCCAAGTTGATCAGCCTCTCTGTGCCTCAGTGCCCTGTAAATTGCAAAGCACTAAGAGCATTTTGTTTCTCCAAATTGTTACAAGAATTAGGTAAATCCAGTGAATACTTGAAAATACTTGGAATGATGGCTTACTGTATGGTCTTAGTATAGGTTATTATTACTGCTCATTTCTGAAAGGCAAAGGGCTTGTTTTCAGTCTCTTTGTGTTTGCCGTGTCTAGCGCTGTGCTTTCCACTGTGGTGTGTGGCTGCACCAGTGGAAGGGCAGTCTGGTTTGAAGCCATTGTATCTCAGCTCTGTTTAGAGCAAAGCTGTATTTACCCGTGAGGCTCCTTTCTCGGTATCTTCTTGTGGAATGAGAAATGCTTGGTGCTTGTGTAAAATACTCACTTTAAGTTCACAAAATCGGGTCCCAGGTTATCATGTTAAAAACCCTCTGTGACAGATGACAGACTCACCTTGATTTTTCAGCGGTAAAGGCATAGTTTCCCTGAGTTTGCTTAAAAGGTTTTTCATTTCTCGCATGTCTCTGCAAAATGGATAAAAACAAAAAATAATGAACTGCAAATCTTCAAAATGAAACCTCAGTCTGTGCTATGAGTCAACTGAAGGGCAAAGGACTATGCCTCATTGTACAAGCTTCAGTTTGTATTTATTTTGCTTTTAGAATAAGAAAAGCATACATATATAAGACAGATTGACTCTGGAAGGACTGGGAGCTACTCCATCAGCCATTCCGCCAGGACATCCCCTGTGGTTCAGTTGGTTTCTGGTGTGCTCCAAGCATCTAGGTTGTTAAAGAGCCCTCCGGTAATTCAGAAAGGCAGCCTGCCTTCAGACCCACCCATGTCTGAGGGCAGAGATTCAGGAAGAACTTCAGAAGTCGTGCCCTAGGCCAGTGCTCCTGGAACCCGCTTCCCCTGTTCTTTCTCACTCCTGTCACCAGAACCAAGCTGGACAGAGATGCTGTCTTGTCCCAGCTTGCTTCTCCCAAGCTCACAAGGCTTGAGTGTAGCTGCGGAGCAAGATGTCTGAAAAGGCACATGGCTTTGATGATAGTGTCTGCCTTGACTGTGACATTCAACATATCTGTTGAATTTATTCAGATAAATCACGTCTTCATCTATAATCCCATCCATTTGTGCAAAACAACCTTGCTGCTTGAATTGTTGGACCTACAAGCTTATACAGAAATTGGAGAGTTATTAATAGCACGCAATTACACATACTCCAATTTTCTATAAACACAGAAATTTGGTAATTAACTTTAGAATTATAAAGTAGAGCCACAACAGCTATAAATGTCATTGGGTGTTACCCTTCTAAAAATAAAAAAAAAAATAAATGCTTATTATCTTGTCAATGATTCAGCCCTCCTTCCACCCCTGCCCCAGAAATGCAGTGGAATTGCCTGGTATTCCTTGGATGGCTTTAAGCGTCATGCCAGCTCTGGGGGCATGAGTAGCAAAGGGCACAGGTATCAGTGTGAACACCCGTAAACAAGGGCCTCCTCTTTCTGCCTCACAGAAAGACATTTATAGTATCTAGATGGAGACCAGGAATTTATTATGCTACCATTACTTTCTCTTCCCAAAAAGAACATTAGCTTCCCTGTCTCTGAGTAGAATATCTTACTCCTGATAAACAAACTCTGTTAGAATTGAGCCACACATTGCCTCACTCTGACCTTGAAGGGCCATCAGCTGTGTTTTCAAAAAGTAAGAGAAAAGATTCTGTCCCAAGTCCCTAGTCGACTGCATGGAAGGTTCAGGAGCAACTGGCTTCCCAAAAGGCCACTCTAGAACCTCCTTGAGATACCACTGTCTGATTATGGAGTCTTCTCCCTTAAAACAGACAGAGATTTGAGGGGAGGCAGCCCAGCACGGCAGTGTGTGGATCCAACCTTCTATGTTCCCAGGAAGCACATTGTTGTCATTTTTCACAGGGGATGCCGTCTGTTAGCAGGGCTAAACAGAGACCATCTGTAGGTGCTGTAGGGGATTGGACTACACACCCTCTGCAAGGTTCCTGCCAGACTGTGCTGCTGTGGCCGACCAAGGAGTGCCCCATGTCTTCAGAACCTGAAACACAGAAGCTTGGCTCTGGGTGGAGAAGACCTGAAAGTCTAGCGGGGGTGACTTCCCACTCACCTTTCTGTGTTCTCAATGTCTGTGGAAACCTGCCAGGAGTGCTGCTGACTATCCACAGGGGATAAGGACGAGTCCTCGAGGGCAGGTGTCTCAGCACTCTCCTCAATTTTACAATCCGAACTCTTGACTCCTCCACCAGTATCTTTTCCTGAGGGAGGAGAATAGTGAGAAAGAGAAGGGAATGAGACATCATTAATGCACAATGTATATATGTCCAGGGTGTCTCTCCAAAGGTTGGTTTGCTTTGAGTAAAATACTCCACTCACCCTAAGAACTTCTGAGTCACAAGATCATTTGTGTGTGTGTGTGTGTGTGTGTGTGTGTGTGTGTGTGTGTATGTGTGTGTCTAGTTTTTACAGCATACAGGGAAAGATAGATTGAGGTCAATGCAACCTAATGATCAAGGCAAAATTAAAGCCTTCTTGAAAATATTTTTATTTGAAAGAGGGAAAGGAAGAAAGAGTGAGAGTAAGATTTCTTCTATCAGCTGGTTTACTCTGCTGAGGCCTGCAACAGTCAAGAGCCTGGAACTCAGCCCAGGTCTCCGTGGTGGGTGGCAGACCTCCCAGGAGTCATTGCCAGCTGCCCCTCAGGGTGCACATTAGCAGGAAGACAGATTTGGAAGCAGAGCTGGGACCTGAACCCAGATATTCCAATTAGGAATAAAGGCTTCCTAAAGAAGCATATGCCAACACCTCTGACTTTGATGGCACCTTGCAACCCATTCTTAGATTAGGTCAGGTTAGCTTGGCAGGGGAGCTTCAGCCTGTGAGAGGATGCTGTGTTTGGTCCTCAGATGCTGAGGCAGACAAAGCGGCTGGGAGCAGGTGACACTCAGCAGGAAGAATGGTTCTCTTTGATACTCAGCGCTGGCTCTCTCAGCCATAGCAGAGACCACAAAGAGCCTCCTTCCTCGGTGCTTTAACCTCCTTTAGTACCTCCTTCTATGAGGAGAGTCCCCATCTGCAATCACAACGTGTCACCAATAAAGGACCACATGAAAGACGGTGTCCCGGGTAGCAGGCCACATGCCAACTCACAAGACCTGGATTTACCATGACTGGAATGGAAAACACAAATCAATCCTTTCTGACAACAAATCTCTAAATTGGCTCCCTCCTAGGTGTAAATGAGATGGAATATAAGGTTAGAGCCTGTGACAAAGGTATACTCAGTAATTACTTTCACGTTGCCTTGGAAATCCAGGCATCCACACAGGAGTATCCTAGTATATCAGGAATAAGCTAGGAGGTCTGAGTAGTGGGCTTAAAACTGGCTCTGTCCTTTGGTTATTCACCCAGTCATTTGTTTATTCTATGACAAATATTTTCTGAGCATCAGCTATGTACCAAGCACAGGGTACAAACAGAATTGAAACAAAGGTGTGGGATCTGTCCCATGGATCTTAAAGGGATAACAACAAAACTCTCTAACATGCTAATAACTGTAAAGCTGTTGTTTGCCATTGTGTGATCTTGAAAAAAAGAGAGGTCCTCTATAACATGGTCTATATTCTTTCACATATGGTGAATATATGGTCTATATGCTTTTTGAAAAAAATTTACTCATTTATTTTAAAGATTTATTTATTTGAAAGGCTGAGAGAGAGAGAGAGAGAGAGAGACAGAGAGACAGAGAGACAGAGAGACAGAGAGATCTTCCACTTGCTGGTTCACTCCCCAAAAGGCTGCAACAGCTGGGTGGAGCCAGGCTAAAGCCAGGAGCCAGGCGCCTATTCCATGTTTCCCATGTGAGCAACAGGAACCCAAGAATCTGAGCCATCTTCAACTGTTTTCCTTAGACTGTTAGCAGGGAACTGGATCAGAAGCAGACAACTGAGACTCAACCAGTGGACTTTGCATTAATAAATAACAAGGAAACAAACGTGTGAAAAGAATGACTATTAATAAAATGTGCAAGGAAGCCATTTTCTCAGATTCCCGATCTGTGTGGAATTAGAAAAATTCCATCACTGTTGCTTGTCACCTGATCGCAACACAAGGAGTAAGAGCAAAGCTGTTCAGTGGTAACTGCACCCCTTTCATCAAACCACAGTCTGCCCAAACACAAGCACACATTTGCTAATGAGAAACCTGGACCCTTTCCTATGTACTTTATGCATATTGATCCTGGGAGATGGAATTTGCCTGAGGAATTGTTTTTCCAATTTTATGGTATGCTGTTGGGTGGAAATGAGTTCAGCGCGTCATTTTATACATTACCGCTTCACAGTTGGAAGGCATTGACCTCCTGAAAGCATTGGCATTTGGCCTTCTGGTAGAATGCAGCAAATGTCATCAGTCCTTTAGCCACTCACCTCTGGGCAGGGACAGCCTTCGTGCAGGAGTCTGAGCAAGGTTGGGTGAGAACTGGGAAAGAAAAAGTGGGTTCCCCCAAACCAGCACTTTGCTGTTCAAAACTTTGCAAAATAGGACAACCTGAATGTGTGTGTGTGGCTACTGTTCTACTCCCATGGGCTTGAAATACCTTGGCCAGTGGGATATGGATTTGGCAGAATCTGACATTAGTCACCTGGGCACAAAATTCTCTGGTTTATGGCCTCAGAGATCGTAATATCTCCTTTCCTGTACTCAGAGTTACAGAGTGTGAAAATTTTACTCTGGCAAGCATTCAAAGTACAACTCGAGTATATATGATATTCTGTCTTGGAGTCCTCTCTCTATTTCCTTCGTCTTATACCTTTTATTTGCAAAGGCAATAAATAGAATCCAGTAGAAAACACCTTGGATACACCGAATGTCTGTGCTTATTCTATGGTTTTCACAGATACCCTCCCCTTATTTTTAAAAGTAAACGATCACTCCAAAGACACTCTCGCAACAGCTCTTGAGTTTACAGGTGCAGGTAATATTCTCTTCTTTCTCATCTTTAGTGATTCTAGATCTAACTGCCAATATGGATGAACCAGAATGAACCTGGGAGGATGAACATGCCATTTAGGGCTTTCTGTTAGCTCACAAACTCTCTGCAAAAATTGTGATGTTGTAGCTTCTATAGGTAAAAAATGTCTTGAAAGGAAGAAAAGAGAAAAAGACGGTCAGTTCCAAGACATGCATGATGTCAGGCTTACTCTGTAAGTGGATTGTTCATTGTTCCCATTCATCGACAACACTGACTTTATGCCAGGCACTCCTTTCCAACATATGACATGTTTGTTGCCATCAGAATAGCAACTCCTCTCAGAAATGAACTCACTTGGGAACCCATTTTCTTTCTAGGTCACTGCATACTCTCCCCAGCTCCGTTCTCATCTCCCAATTTTGTATGAAAATTCTGTAGGCCAAGGATTGTTTTTGATGATCGTATAAGCTCAGGATCAAGGTTCAAGCCTTATCTACTGAGGGCTCTCACTCAGATCCCTCAGCATTACCAAAAACCGAGTCGTGCTCCATAGGCTGTGGTACAGTTTGGTTTGCAACTTCAGTGTATCTTACATCTCCTTCCATGTTCATGCATCTTGATTTATAATATGCTTTTAATAGGTGGGGACTATTCCACACCAGGGAATTTAGATGCAAATTGTTTCCCATTTCTATAATAGGCCAATATTGCATAGGAGACTCTGTGAGGCAGCGTACTGGGACAAAGTACATACTGTGTAATTTAACATATATATTTCAAAGACCAGATGAAATTGGTCCCTGAAAAGGCTTTGCTTATTTAAACTGCACTTCTACCAATAGTAAACCAGAAGATCATTTCCCTATACTTTCGCTAGTACTTCACATGATCAATATTCAATTCTAGCTAATCTAGTGGAGAAAATATTTTATCCATTTTTTTTTTACATTTTTCATCTCTTATTGTCATTATGTTTATTTTCATATGGTAACTAGCCACTTGTGTTTTTTTTCAATTTTTCCTCTCCATACTAATTTCCAGCTTAAATAACAGGGTTGCCTTTCTTATGGCTTTGTAGGAATTCTCTGTCTATGATAGACACCGATCATTTATCTGTTACCTGCTCAGTGAGGTGGTACAGCCAATTAAGCCACAGCTGGCTATGCTAGCATCCCATATGAGCGCCAGTTTGAGTTGTGGCTATTCCACTTCCTATCCAGTTAATGCATCTGGTAAAGTGGTGGAAGATGGCCCAGGTACTTGGTCTCCTACCACTCCTAGCAGAGTACCTAACACCTGCTTTTGGCCTGGTGTCAGAGCCACTGGTGGTCATTGGGTAGTCAGAGTAACTAGAGGCCATTTGAGCAGTGAATCAGCAGGTGGAAGATTTTTTCCCTTCTGTCTCTCCTTTCTCTGCAACTCTTCTTGAAATAAATAAGTAAATCTTAAAAAATATTTATTTAAAAGGTACAGAGATGGATGCAGGAGAGAGGGAGAGTTTTCATCTGCTGGCTCATTCCCCGGTGCCTGCAACAATGAGAACTGGGTCAGGCCTCAGCTAGGATTAGGAATGTGGTACAGATCTCGCACATGAGTGCAGGCATCTAACTTCTGGGGCCATCACTTGCTGTTTGCATTCCAGTGTGAGCAGTAGCTGGAAGCTGGAATTGAAGATGGAGCCAGAACTCATACCAAAGCATTCTCATATGGTATGTGGGCTTCTTAAACTCGTGTTTCAACTACTAGGCCAAATGTGTAGCGTAATCAGTTCACTAATTAATCTGTAATTTCTTTCTGGACTGATTGTTTTATAAGATCTAGAGTTGTAGTGCAAATGAAAGCCAATGGATCCCACACCATTTATTGAGTTTTCTACTGATGTGACCTTAAGAGCTTAAATTCCTGTATAAATATGGCTCTGTTTCTGGACACATTACTTTATTTCAAATTCATTTGTTTTTTCTGGTGCCAACTCTATGACATTTTAGTTATTATGGCTTTACTACTTCATGAAAAAATTCTCCTTCATTGTTCTTTTCCAGATAGTTTTTAATCCACTGAAATTGAAACCATTAATTATTTCTATCTGGGACTTGGAACTATCAAAAGGGATAAATCATCGCTTTTTCACTATTTTCTAGGTCTACTGGCTTATTCAGAATTCTTTTTCTTCTTTAGTTAATTTTTGTACTTTTCATTTGTTCTGGAAAATCATTCAGTAAATATGCTTTTGATAAAATCATGCTTTCTCTTACCAGTGATTCATACCCCTAATGCTGCTTATGA